ACTAAGTCAAAATTATCTATACGACATAGAAAAAAAACATACACTTTTATTAAGTGAATAAATATTCTTGTTATTTTTAAAATAATTAATTTAGAATAAAGTATTGCGAAAAATTGACTCAATCATTAAACAGTATTAAGATATAAATTGATCATTACTTTTGCTTTTATTCAAGCTCAATGAAAAGAGCGACTGCTGTTCCACTTCATAAGTCTGTGAATCTATCCAGTCGCGTTTATGACTAAACTTTTACAACTTTCAGCAGCGTTCGATTTAAGCTCCGAAATGACCAAGAAGTATGAAATAATTGTGGTAAAAATCTGAAAGAAAGATATTTGAATGTTTTAGATATAAAGTTAAAAAAATAATAGAGATTTACTGCAAGTATTGTTTCTTTTTTCAGTATCAATATGCCACAGGTTGGTATTCCAATTCCATCACCTGTAATGGAATTAAGTAACATTATCATCTAAAATAAAAGAAATGTAGTTAAAGTGAATTATGTTCATGACACTATTCAGCGGCAGAACTTCCGCAGAACAGTCCGGGTAGGAGACCCCAGCCTTTTTTTTTCAAAAAACGTTTTTTGAAAAATTTTATTAGCCTATTAAGAACTATTCGTTTAGAATGTCCAGATAAGATAGTACAATGCATATAGTCAGCATATGGTCTCTTTGTTCTGAGCTGCTTCACTATTCTGGGTAACCTTACTTTCCTGACACAGAAGCTTTCCTTGAAGAATTGTCTGTAATGCTAGCTCCCATTCTAGGAGCATACTCAGAATCTGACCCCGCATGGGGTGACAACATTTCCATCGCTTAAGCACTAAATTGAATCTATTGAACAGGTTAAGTTGAAATTATTTGATGTGAGAGAAATCCAGATCAAACAGGACGGACCGTACTGTGCGACCTGGAGATTTATCGTCATAGTGCGGTCGAGAAAAGCGCTCTCCTACGTATAACTTTTGAAGTTCTACCTGTTGTTGTGGTGGATGTTGCCGTTGTTGCTGTGGTGGCAATGGTCGTGCCTACAAAAAATTTCTTACAGTGTATAGAAAGTTTTTGAAAGACTCATCATCTGCTATCCGTTGACACTAGAGAGTGAGAGTTTCTAACACATACATGGGACACAAAAACAATGATACTATTCTTTCTTGCCGACAGAATCATACCTGTTGTTGTTGTTTTTCGCGTTGTCACCAAGACAACGGCTGTTATGACACCAGCAGTTACAAGAATCAAAGTAGCTACGACAATAAACAGAACAATAGGGGTGCAATTTCTGGGTGAGCCACTAAAAAAATCAGGTTTTTATATTAGCTACAGCAGAACAGAAGATATATACGTTGCTTTCGACGAAATGGTTGGTATTTCATTCATATCCGCTGTGACTGCTCCAGACTACAATATTGAGGAAAAAACAATCTATCCATTTATGCATTCGCTCGAAGAAGTAGAAATACGATACATTAGGGCTCTGATTGATTTTCGGTGTATCACCCCAGTTTGACATTGTTTTGACGATTATATAAACTACTTTTAAATTAGTGGCAAGATGAGTAAATTAAAAAAGTTCTATAATAAATCCTCTTACTGTTCTCTCACTTGTGTAAGATGAATCGCTCATAAGTAATGATATGCTTCACTTGTCACGAAAAACTGTTTTATCTGAAACAATGAAGATCAGTTTCAAAAACCATAGATGCAGAAATAGCAAAAGAGTGATTTTTTTCTTGTATACTTGACCGATATGAATAAATCGTTTATTGTACAATAGTCTAATCCAGCTAGAAAATGAGAAAAAAGAATTCAATTCTGATTGAGAAGTGCTTTATCTTACCATATAATCGAAGACTGGAGTTTGGACGTCTGTGGCGATGAAACTACAAATACAACAGAATCCGAACTCGATTGAGGAGACGCTTGAACATACCTTGTGCTTGAGTGGTAACTTTACGTCAGCCACTGAAATGAGACTAGAAACAGCACGAAGATTTCGATAAGTGGGAGTGTGAAGGGAGGTTTCCATCACATCGAAGAGTAACTCTTGAATACTTCTCAAGTAGAAAGAAGAGGAGAGAATATTTGACTCGATTTGAGAATCGAGTAAGAGTTACCGTCTTGTCGAATCACAAAGTTTGAGGCAACGATAAACTGAAAGTAAAACGAAAGTGAAGATATCGAGCAGAGTCAACAGCAGCTAAGAACTGACCAGCCATTGATGAGATCAAGTTTGAGTGTTGTTGCAAACCGAACTGATTGAAGAAGAAACTTCGACTTAACTTACACTTCAAAATGGATTTTGTAGCCATTATCTTGCTAATATACGAGGATCAGGTCAGCATTGATATGGAACTAGGAACAAAAGGAATAATCGAATAGCCTTCGTTAAAAGATATGCAATCACTATTTCTGGGAATGCTCAGCAGTTAGTCAGCATTGTAATCGCACTGTAGATGGAGAAAAGGCTTGAAACAAGTGGAAAACAACTCGAAACTCACTATCAGGTTGAACAATCAAGTTCGAGTCAGCAATCGCCTTAAACGGTGAAAGGAAAAACTTGATGAAATTTCCAGGCAAACTAAAACTTACTATTTCATTACGTGATGGAATTCAGAATGCATTGCAGTCGAAGTTGAAAGGAACTCATTCTGTTGAAAATGAAACAAAGATTTGACGGAAATTGAAGGTGAAGATGGACTTAGACACAAGTATCTGTCGAACTCGGAAGAGTTAAGTCAATTTGTTTGGAGTTGAGAAGACTCTTAATTTTATCGTTTTCATGAAAAAGAAGGCGATAGAAGTAAACCAACAATTCGGATGAAACTTGAACGATCATCCTATTGAAGACTTGATTCGGAACGATCGATATGGAAATCTAACAAAAGAGAAAAACTTCACTTGAACGTTTTGCTGTGGAAAGCGGTATTTTTCCGCAAGCACTTCATGGGATTCATGTTTTTCCCGGAAAAACTTATGATTGTCCAGAAGAATTTCATGTTTTTTCCTGATGAAAACCATGCTTGTCCAGTAGACCTTGATGATTCTTCCGGGTAAAGTCCATGATTCTCCAAAAGAACTTCATGCTTTCTCCTGAAGAAATCCAGGACTCCCCACAAGAACTTCTTGTTCCCTCCTGAATTAACTGGTCTTTCTCCGCAATAACATCGTGTTTTTGGTGAAGAAACTAGTGTTTCTCCACGAGAACTTCATGTTTTTTCCTGAAGAAGTGCAGGTTTCTCCACAAGTACATCGTGTTTTTTCCTGACGAAAACCATGCTTGTCCAGTAGACCATGATGATTTTTCCGGGTAAAGTCCATGATTCTCCAAAAGAACTTCATGCTTTTTCCTGAAGAAATCCAGAACTCCCCACAAGTTTTTCTTGTTCCCTCCTGAATTAACCGGTCTTTCTCCGCAATAACATCGTGTTTTTTGGTGAAGAAACCGGTGTTTCTTCACAAGAACTTCATGTTTTTTCCTGAAGTAATTCATGGTTCTAGACAAGAACTTCTTGTTTTCTCCTGAGTTAACCGGTGTTTCTCCACAAGAACTTCGTGTTTTTCCCCGACGAAAACCATGATTGTCCACTAGACCTTGATGATTTTTCCGAATGAAATCCATGATTCTCCAAAAGAACTTCATGTTTTTTCCTGAAGAAGTCAAGGTTTCTCCACAAGAACATCGTGTTTTTTGCTGTAGAAACCGATGTTTTTCCACAAGCACTTCATGTTTTTTCCTCAAGAAGCCTTTGTGTTTTCCGCAATAACATCGTGTTTTTTTTGTGAAGAAACCGGTGGTTCTCCACAAGAACTTCATATTTTGTCCGGAAGAAACCAGTGTTTCTGCACGATAACTTCATGTTTTTTCATGAAGGAGTTCATGAATCCTTGCAAGAACTTCTTGTTAAATCCTGAATTAACCGGTGTTTCTCCGCAAGAACTTCGTGGTTTTTCCTGACGAAAACCATGATTGTCCACTAGACGTTGATGATTTTTCTGGATGTAATCCATGATTCTGCTCAAGAAGTTGATGTTATTCTTGGAGAAAGCATCCATATTCTTTCATTTAATATATAAAAAACATCAGACGTTTTAACTGACCTATCAGATGTGAGTGTGCATTGAAGGAGCAAAAATTTTAGAATATAATGAATCTTATCAATGAAAATTCACGTCAACAGGTGAAAATATCTACACCATATGATACAGATAAAAATTAATGGCAAAGCAATGTAGTTTGACGTTACTTTTCTCTTCAGATCGAAAAAATTTTATTTAAAGAATGTTTGCACGGTGTACCCATTGTCCGAAATTTTATATCGCAATATTTCTTTTTTTATCTGGTCAGGTATAAACTTTTGAATAAGTACAATCGTTCGCTGTTAATTAAAAAGATAAATGAAACGTTTTTTTGTTAAATTATTATTGCAGTTTGAGTGTTCATTATATATCAGTTCTTATAAAAATGCATGATGGCATGATAATGTGATAAAAATAAACTAATAAATAGCATTATGAGACGAGATATTTACCGGTATATTTTACCCTTTTCTCAATCAGACCGACTGCAAAGTACAATATATTAAAGTATTTTTATGATTTAGTTTTGTAGTGCAAACATTTTTGCTACAGAATGAAACATGGCAGAGATCTTCATTTTACTCCTTGACAAAGAGCCATAAACCGAGATTGCCCGGTACCGATCATAGAACATTTAGTAAACATTTTTATCTAATTGCTGAATTAAGATGCTGAATTGTTTTGAAAAGTAACATTTTTTTTAGTTTGACAGATAGGATTTTAGTTACTTACTATCTTTCCTGTTTAAGGTCAGATAGTGTTTATTGAAGCTGATATTTTAATTGGACAATCTTCAACATCGGAGAGTGCAGCAATTATGGCACATCCTCCCTATACATCGAGTGATTTGGATTTTGCTACATTTCTTCAATTGGCAAAATCTAGTGAAAAGGGATTAAAATTAGATTTCAAAGATATTAATGCTGTACAATCGTGTCTGAATGAACTTAAATTGCAAAAAGAACAGGTAATATTTCGTTTATTTGTTTTTGATTTTCTCGATATATATATATATAAAAATATTATTTTCTTAATTTTAGATAAATGGTCCAATTTTGTTGAATGCTGCTCTTGTACATGGTGGTTTCGGTTCTCGTAAACCGATAACTGCTGAAAAATTTCTTCATGAATGTTTATCCTTTTCGTTCAATGTAGCATGACAATTAACAATTGGTTTCTCTATCGGTTGGGCAACAATGTTTTCACCATTGATACCTGATCTTAATTTTTACACCTGGTCAATTATATTAAATATGTACAGAATTGTAACAAAAGATTATATATCGAAAAAAGAAAATTATTCAGTATTAAATTTTGAAATTACTTATCCAATACGTGCATCATGGACAGTTTATTCATTCTATCAATTACATTGGTTAACTGATTTAACAAAATCAGGATTAACATTTTGGTCGCCTGCCGATGAATTAACAATCAAAGATTATCCATCATTATTATTATATCGTTCAATTTATTCAAAATCACTTGTTTATTATGATTTACCATCACCAATTGATAAGTACATTCAAAATAATTTTTACAATGATAACAATATTAATAATTCATTAGAATCATTTCCATCTATGAAAGATTTTTGGCAAACAGATAATGTTGATTATGTTCTTTTATCACAATTTTCAGCACTATTATTAAAATCACACGTATTTTTACGTACAAAACAAACATCGTCTAAATTAACTAATCAAAGTTGTAATTGGATAGGTACCATTGAATTTCTAGAAGAACGGATTCATCACAAGCTGTTCTGTGTTATCTTGCTGAAATAAATGATCTATCCAAAGCAGGTAAATAAAAGATTATCAGTAAGATGTATGTCTATCTAATCATTCTTATTTTTATTCTTTTAGGAAAGACTATTACAATTTGGAAAAATGGTAATATTGAACTTATATATCAGTACAATAGTGGTACATTACAAATTGATAAATCTAATGTATTACCAAGTTCTGTTTATTCATTTAAACTTATCGATATAAATTCATCGATTCAAATTGAAATATTATCAGATAATCCCTATAATTTCATGCGAAATGAAACAATGCCTATACTCGTAAAATTGACAGCCTATTTAGATACGTCTAATACACAATTTTCATCGTCATCACTAGTGGATAATTCCAAAAAAGCTTATCATGCTGCTGTAATGGGAAGAAATATAGATTCAGGTTTAGCGATAACAAAATTGCATATTTTTCAACATGAGGTACCTATTGAACGCATGTCTTAAATAATCTAATAGTGAATTCTATATATATATATATATATATATGTTAAGTTTGTATATCTAATTTTATTTTCAGCAAGCAATGCATTTATTGATATCATCAATGTCGAGTACGACTATTAACATGTCTCAAAGTTTATTGTTTATCTATGTAATATATCTCATTTTCATAACGTAAAAGAAAAATCTAAACAGATGAACGACATCTATTTAGTGTGTGTAATCAGATCTTTTTCTTTTGTATTTTGAATAAATAATTTCCTCTCAAAAAGTAGGATAAAATTCAATGTTTTTTCCACATCTTTCAATGATACAAAAATAAATACTTTTAACGTCTTTTAATGGTGATAAAAGAAAATCTTTTAAGGAATGGATGTATCCCTTCTTTCCTGCACTTTTCGTTCTTGCTTTTATGTGTCAAAATGTTTTTTGTCTTAATTTGATCATTTTGTTTCTTTGTTTCGGTACGTTTAGATGATTTTGGATGCGAGGATGCTGAAAGTGTTGTTGTATTTTTTGAGATTAAATGTTTGCCAATGTTTGTTTTGGAAAATTCTCTTTTAAATAATGGTGACATAATAACATAGAAAGGAAATGATATTGCTTGTGGAAAATATGAAATATAATAGATGGTTAATAGACCATAGCGAAATACATTTTGTTGATATTGTTGACAAGAATTAACAAATAGTACAATGAAAACTTGGGGTAATTCGCATAGTAAACAAACAAATGGGCTAATAATTAATTCTTGACGTTGTTTTAATTGATAAATTAGCATTGTTGAACGTTTCATAAGTCTTACATTTGCTTTGATTCGTGTAATTTGTATTATAATTACTATTGCACAAACACAATTGATAATAAATGGACCAATATAAACAAAAAATGATAAAAGTATTTCATATGAATCAAATCGATGTGTTTGAACACACCATACGGAATTATCATCGGATGGATCTATTATTATATCATGTTGTGTAATTAATGGTGACGAAGTGGCACATGTACATACAATTAATAATAGAGAAAATATACAAGCGCTTAATGGCGATTTTATTTTGTTAATATATTTATTTGTGATAAATAATGCTACTAGAGCACGTTCACCAGCGACATATGCTAATAGCCATGGACTAGTACGTGATAATGCATTTAATATATAGGGTAATGATTTACATAGTACACGATTTAGTTTTATTTCAATTTGATTTGTTCTTGATTGTCGTACATGACTAATTCGAAAAAATAATGCGTATAGTAGTGTCAATAAACTTACAATGGAATTAGTTAATAAATAAACACCCGATCCATTTTCACCTGACGCTTTCCTTGAAAATGTTACGAAACTGAAAAAATTAAATGTTGAACCAATAACTAATAAACAATTGATGGTACAAAATGTAAATAAGCATAGGGCGGTGAAATCACTGGTGAAAAATCTTGGCCAACTAGCGATTCGAGAGAAAATCTATTGCCACAGCTTGAAAATTGGCATAATCGACCTAAAATGATATTTGACATTTGAATGAGTTATTTATTGTTTTCTTTTTTTGAAAGACTCACCGTAGGCACAGTTTGGACAAATACAAATCCCATCACCCTCATAAGCATGAGTTTTAGACAAATCGGTACTGTCCTTTAGAAGTTAGGCTGGACCAACTTTCTCATGTAACACGCCTATTGTATTCTAGAGGATTTCAGCCCTCGTTTAGGTCAAATTCTGCTTTATGTTGTATTATAATTGTTAAATAACTGAATATCGATACATCACTGTTTCATTTCGATATACAACACAAATTATGTTTCTAAGTCATGTGATTTTTATTGTTAAAACCGAATATTTCTAGATGTAAAACTTTTATTCTCAAACAACAAAAAAAAAGATTAATGCCATTTATAAACACTCAAGTTATTGTCTTTGATTGCTCATAAATTCGATACAAACTGTAAATGATGTGGATAATAATTCATAAAACAATTACTTTTATAGAAAAAAAATTCAAATTAGTTTCTATTGACAAATACAATTTTTATTTCTTATGTTTTTCTTTTCAGAGAAAAACAAGATCAAATTTACTATATTAGAAGGAAGGTCGAAACTTAACATCCCTAAACAGGCATGTAGAATATGGCTCTTTTAGTGAACAAGTGTGGAATTCTATGTAACTTTCTATGCTCTACACCAGAAGAGTCTTGAAATTTTCGCGGCTATTATGTCTGTATAAAGTGGGCGGATCTAAATGGAAGTACCCGAAAATGGACACTGTGTTGTTCGAAACGTCGAAACAATTATAATTAATAGATGAAAATTAAATGAAGCTTAAAATGGCTGCTGTTACTATAGCATCTCTATGGATAATCTTGTACCTTTAGCTCAACGTAAACTTCAGTCCTTAATAAGTCCTTCAAATCAGATAACCGGTTTCGTGCGACATCTGTCTTGTAGCTTAGAAAACAGTGATTGTTACTATCACTCTTTTTGTTTGTTCGGAATTTTACTTTTGTTTTTTTGTTTTGTTTGCATAGCATTTCTGTCTTTTGTACATTACTGTATTGCTCATGTGCTGATTGGTCAGCCTATGAACTGTTATTCTATATTTTCCATTTCCATGTTTTGCGGATACACAGAACGCAAAAAGATTTTGTAATACCCTAGACTAAAGTCAAGGGAGAAATTGCCTGCTGATGGTCCAAGTTAGACCGAAAGGTTGCAATGAAAAATCTTTTCTTTATTGTCTTTTTAATTTTGAAGTTTATAAAAAACTTAAAATCAAACAAAAATGATCTGATGTTATATCGAGTACACGACGTAATAATCACTATAAATATGATAAATACTTAGATTCTAATCAATTATTTAATCAATTATGTATTATAGATAAAAGGTCTTGTTTAAATATTACTACTTTCTTGTATTGTCTTTAGAAACATAAAAATGCGTCATATTAAAGTATATATCAATGATGATACTAAAGAACATGTAAAAGTACCATTACATTTTCAATTCTATTTTTACTACTATTTACCATATGTTTTATTGGATGATCTTATGAATATAGATCCAGATAGTGTTGGTTTATTTCTTTTAAATAAACAAAACGAAAAAATAACGTAAGCTCTTTTATTGATTCTTAAGCAATGTAATTTCTACAATAAATGAATTTCATAAGCTTATTTGTTTATGTTTTATGTAGACAATCAAGATGTGGCCAAAGAATATATTTCAATCAAGAAGATAATATGTCTGTTGAAGATGGATGTTATGTATTAAATTGTTTACCAGGTAAGTTTTGTTTTCTGATAGTCTCAAAGCATAGTTCGAGAAAAAGCCAAAAACATCTTTTGAACATTTTCACTATTATATCTAATTGAGTTTGAGCGAATAATATATTTAATAATTTAATAATTTAATAATAATAATATATTTAATAATTATCAGTTATTAAATATAGTTCGAAAGTACTCGATGAGCTCTATCGAATAGTATTTAATTCGACATATGATCATGTGTGTCATTGCATATACAAGCCTTTTTTCCTGAAAAATCCCTATTTTTCCTATTATTTTTGTATGTTAAATATTTGTAATTTGTATTTGTTTTTCTCTCCTAGCAAGATCGAACACAGGAAATATCAAAATGAATGCGGTCGGATATAATTGCACTAGTGGCAGCAATATTCAGAATATTATCGTTCATTTGGGCAATAATAGCGATCTTTTGGCCACAAATAATGGAAAAGAAGAAGAACATATAAGTTATATACGACAACGAAAAATTTCAAAAAAATAAAAGAAAGCTTTTTTTATAGATTAACATTTGAAATACTAACAGAAAAATGTAAACAAATAGATATGAATAATAAAGTCAGATATGTTTGTTCTTCCTTCTTTTCATTTTTTTCTCAATTAGTCTTATTTATTTGATCAAATGGTGTATTAAGTATATTGTTGATAATTTTATTCTGTTATACTCATGAAATAAAAAAGTATAAAGCAATAGCATTTGATCATAGATCAAGCAAACGGTAATCTACAAAAGAAACAACATTTGGAGAAAAATCTGATTTAGAAAGTGAAAAGTGAAAACTAAACAAGTCTAATTTAAATGATAAAAAATATTTTCGTAAAACGTAAATGATACACTTTGGCATCTGTGTGATTTGATATTTAATGATACGATCAGAATGTAAAAATTTATCCTATTTTGTTAAATTTGTCGAACCATTTTAATTTAATAAAACTCAAATCAGAATTATTATTGGTTTGCCTAAATAAATACAATAAAAATTGTATTCGTCAATAGAAACTACTTATTTGAATTTTTTTTCTATAAAAGTAATTGTTTTATGAATTATTATCCACATCATTTACAGTTTGTATCGAATTTATGAGCAATCAAAGACAATAACTTGAGTGTTTATAAATGGCATTAATCTTTTTTTTTGTTGTTTGAGAATAAAAGTTTTACATCTAGAAATATTCGGTTTTAACAATAAAAATCACATGACTTAGAAACATAATTTGTGTTGTATATCGAAATGAAACAGTGATGTATCGATATTCAGTTATTTAACAATTATAATACAACATAAAGCAGAATTTGACCTAAACGAGGGCTGAAATCCTCTAGAATACAATAGGCGTGTTACATGAGAAAGTTGGTCCAGCCTAACTTCTAAAGGACAGTACCGATTTGTCTAAAGCTCATGCTTTAGAGCTTTCTCGACATGCTCTTCATTTTTGTCTCTTGAAAGTTTTTTGTAAAACCCCTGCAAATAGGGTTTCCAGAAAACCCTGTTTCTTGTGACACGATGACTCAGAAAAAACGGAGAGACGGAAATTTGTTTGAGTGACATATTCGGAACCAGCGTCGAATGGTGAATATTTTAAAAAAAATTCAAGTCTCTAACTGAAAATTTGAATTTTTAAATTTAATTTTAAGTTTTAAAAATCTCACTTTTTTGAAATTTGAAATATCTCAGTCCAGGTAAGTGATCGAGACCTCGTTCAAACGCCAATCGATAGAGAATTGAAAACTGAACAAACATAGGGGTTGAAAATGTTCATGTATCACGTTATCAGATTTTCTGGAGGACCTTTAGAAAACCTTCTCTCTAATTTTACGCAAATTTTGATAGACGCTTCAAGAGATAGATGAAATTGTTGCAATAATAATTCAATATGTTCATAATCAACATCTTTACATGTTAAAATAAGTTTTTCGAATTGAGATGATAATGCTTTTGTTTTTATATTATTAAAGTCGTATAATAGGATTTGTTTAAAGTACGAACATGGGCACCCTCGAGACCCTCCAAAGACCCCCAGAGGTCTAAACATATGTCTAAATCCAACACAATGAATGCTCACGCCTCCATTCGGTCGGCGTTCATAACCAGGATATATGAGAAATCTTGTGAACGTCTGTAATTCCACGGAAAAAGCGCCCAGTGTAATATAAAGCTAAAAAGTTTTCTCGACACCCTCTGAAGATCCGAAGGGGAGCTGCAAGTATTTCTGATCGATTCGCCATGCTGGACTATCTATATTCTGTAACTTTTATTATCCGTAGATGACTTTTTTGTGTTCAATCATTCTCCCTAGAACACTGGCTAGACCATCACCAAAGAAATTTGCTAGGAAGATTTCTAAAAAGGTCCACATATCCGAGTGCCCATGAAAAAAACAGATAAAAAGGAACGACCAACAATGCGTTTTTCAAACTGTTGGTTGTTCTTTTTTATCTTTCATCTTCTTTTTTATCTTCTTTCGAAAGAGATACATTTAGTAGAAGAAGATCAAGACTAAGGGTAGGAGCGTTTTTTATTGTTGAGATTTCTTTATAAAAAAAATTTCTTTGAGTGCGGAATAACACACACTCCAGTAGA